CGCACCTGGTGTATAAAATCACGTGGGTGAGTCCTTCGTTTGGTTGGATCTACTTTAGTTAGAGATAAACTACTTGTGAATTACTTGTAAATTACTTGTAATTTTGAATAACTTGATCCCAAATAAACAAGAGCAGAATTGCCGAATTATAAAAAAAAAATATCAAAAAAAAAAATTAGAATCTATGCAGTTATGTCACAGCAAAAATTACAAATTCTAGAAATAGGCAGTGAATTTCTAACGGTAGAGAGCTTCAAGGAAGCTGCTCAGCAAAGTGCTAAAGCAGCAGGCTTTGCTTTTAGCATATCATCATCAAAAGTTCTGCGTGATGAAAAAGGCAGTCATACTCCTTTTGTTACCTTGCAGTGTATAATGGGCGGTAAATACAGAAATAACCATAATATTACTGAAGAAACTCAAAAAAGAAAGAAATCCACAAAACGCCAGAGCTGTCTGGTTATCTTAAAAGCCATTTTGAATAAAAATAATGTTTGGGTAGTACACTCTTATAAAGACCAACATAATCATGAACTTCTTCCCCCATTGCAAGTCCACTGTCTTCATCAACATCAGATTCTCAATACAGAACAAAAAGAGCTGGTTCATATAATGCTTAGAAGCAGAGCACCAACTCAATTAATTGCTGATGCAGTACAATGGAAAAACGGAACTGTATACACTAAAGATATTATAAATGAACGTAATCAAATTAGAAATGCCTTAAATGAAGACTCAAATTGTAACACTACTATAAAGCTTCTGCATATGTTGGAGAAGCGTCAGTATGTAGTTCGACACTTGTTATCAAAAGACGGGTCCATACAGAACTTATTTTTTATACATATTGAGTCAGCATGTCAAGCAGCCATATGTCCGAAAGTACTAATAGTAGATGCTACCTATAAGACAAACTTATATAAGCTTCCTCTTATCAATGCTGTTGGTATTAGTAATATTGGAAATTCTAAAACTCTTAATACATACCAAATCGCGATGGCTTGAGTTGCAAATGAGCAAGAACATATATATAAGTAGTTTTTAAATACATTGAAAGAGACAATTTACGATACTTTTGCTTGTTCTCCAGAAGTATTTGTATCTGATAGAGACCAAGTCCTTCGAAAAGCAGCAGATAGCGTTTTCCCAACAGCAAAAAAAATGGTATGCATTTGGCATATGCTCGCACAAAATTTACCAACTATGTGTAGAAAGCTTTTTAACTCTGATGAAGACTATAACAAGTTGTTATTATCAGTTCAAAAAGTTGCTTACGTCAAGGAGATGAATGAAGTTGAAGATGCATTTAATGAGGTGAAACAAGCAGCGGCTAAGAGTAGAGATCCGAACTATATTGAGAATTACTTTGAGGAATGGAAAAAAGATGCTAAGTGTTGGATGCGTATTTATACAAAAAACTATCACATATGGGCATCCAGTCGACACAATGGGCTGAGGGAAGTCATGCTGGATTAAAAAAAGTGATAGAAGCAGCAAGTAGGTTGGAACAGGTTTTTTCGCATATTGATCGCGCTTTTCGCCAACACAAATTAAAAATGAATGGTGCCTTAGGATTAAACATTGTTTCCGCAGATTCATTTATACTTAATGACAAAAGATTTAAACAACTGCTTAGAAAAATTTCTAGGTAGGCAATTGATCAAATAAAGAAAGAGATATGTGAGACTGAAAATAACAATAATGAAGATAATAACAACTGTAAATGTAGTTTGAAGTTAAATTTTAAATTATCATGCTGCCATATAATTCCATCGACAGGACCTATTCCGCTTTCAATTATACATCCCCGCTGGTATCTAAAACATGATTCGGTGCCTCTATTACCTTCATCATCATTGTTAATTGATATAGCCGCTAGTAAAGCCTTATACAAACTCAAGGATAAATATAAAAGCTTAAGTGATTGTGGGTCCAAAGCTATATTTTTAGATAAAATTGAAGCTTTAGTTGCTGAGGAAAATGTAATTCCAAAGGCACCATTACATATCAAATCTAAAAGACAAACATCTACTAAACGTGGCCTTCTTCGAAGTGAGTATCAAGATAAGGTTGACGCAAACAAAAGGAAAAGTGCAAAAATGGAGAAAAATATAAAAAAAGAGAAAAATAAAAAAAAAGAAAAAGACGAAAAAAAAACGGTGCTAAAACCTATAACAAATCTACAACAACCACGACAACTCTTATATCACGATCAAATACCTATTTATATGCATGAATATATAAAAGAAGTTATTGATGTGAATGGAGATGGCAATTGTGGATACAGAGCATTAGCAGTATGTTTAGGAAAAAATGAAAGTGAATGGCTAGAGATAAGAAAAGAATTGCATAGAGAATTGAATAAAAAGGAGCAATTTTACAAGACATTATTTTTAGCTAAAGACTATTATGAAACAATTATAAAAGAGGTTTTCTGGACAGACGGTCCTTGTATGTTCGAACACTGGATAAGGATGCTACAAATTGGAGATGTTATAGCAAATACTTATCAAAGACCATTATACTTTTTCTCACTGCAAGTAAATCTTACCTTTCTTCTACATCACCAACCATTAAACCGAAATGAAGCACTCGCGATTGCTTTTGTTAATAATAATCATTATGTGGTTATAGTTTTAAAACCTGGTGCTCCTGTACCTCCAATTGTTAATCGATGGACGCAGTTTGCTACCTTGGCAGCATCTTGATGGAAACTATTAATTCAAGATCGTATTTCTAAGTTTCTTTCAATAAGTACTCCAATTGACAAAAATAATCCAGAAATGCAAGATAAAAATGATATATTAATAGTTATTTAAGAATATTTTATATGCTTTTTTAAGATGCTTCACATATGTTTTATGCTTTTTAAGAATACTTTCACATACTTTTTAAGAATACTTTCACATACTTTTTAAGAATACTTTCACATACTTTTTAAGAATACTTTCACATACTTTTTAAGAATACTCTTTAAGAATACTTCTGCATGCTTTTTAAGAATACTTCTGCAACATTATAAGACTTCTGTTTACTTAAAATTAGACAAATTATGGATATTTATAATATGTACGTATGTATTTGACTACTTATTTGAATAAGTTGAATAATACTATCTTAAATTTGACAATGTATATTAGTATTTCATATGTTCTGGAGCGATTGCTAAAAAACAATGCACTTTTTCTATTATAATTATTAAAATTTTTTAGTGCAGTATTTTAATATTGACATGCATTTAATAATATAGTATTAAGATCAAATTATAATATTACACAGTTGTGTTACATGATTTTAATAATCACATGATTGCACTGTCCATATGCACTGTCCATAGATCATCTGCTTCCCCAGGTGCGCCAACAAAATTTTACAGTCACATGACAAACAACAAACTTTTTTGAAATCGTTAGGGTTTGGTCGTCGCCTATATTAAGGTTAGCATTTGAGTATTTTAATAGTAAAATTGCTCAAGGAAAATTTTTTGTTACTGTATAAAAGGTTGTTTATTATGCATATTTTTGAAAAACAAGCAATTTTTTCAAAGCAAATGTTTGTTTTGAATTTTCTTAATCATGTTATATTACATGAGCACATGATTCATCATTGGCTAAATTTTGTCGATCAATACGTGACTGTGAAAATTTTATTAGTAATTTGTTGCCGCACCAGGGGTAGTTAAATCCACCATTACAGGTAGGACCGTCCCAAATAAAGAAATGATGATCCCAATCATGTATTATAATTTAGCCAATTAAAATCATAAATTTTATCATGTAAAAAATATCACATGTTGATTAGCCAATCAAATCGTAAATTCTTATAAGATGAAAAAGAAATGAAAATTAATTAAATTTATAGCTAAAGCTCAAAATAAATGCTGTTAAATGTTATTGTTAGGTAAGTAACATGTATTTATTAATTTAAATCAAGATTATTAATTTTTTCATAGTATTTAGTTTTATTTATTT